AGATTTTCCAGGCAAGTATTTGGTGAATGCTGTGTAGTCGGGCCAAGGTTTTAAAGTTTGTGTGACAGTGCTCTAGATAATCTGCCAGACTTAGCCTTTCCACTTGGGCCCTTGCTGATTCTGATTCAAGTGTGGGAAGAAGCAGTAAGGCCCTTATTCAACACTCTGAGAAGTTCTTAGATGAGTCCTTGCGTTACATAATGCTGCTGATCAAGCTGGATTCTTTGCAGGCCTTTTTGGCCAGTCCTGTTATGTTCTTAGTCTTACCCTGATATGTTGTGTGTTACATAATCTTTCATGTTTTGTACTGCTCTCCTCTGTTCTCTCTGATCTCAGTTTCTGTTGATCTGCAATCAACCAGGATTGGTGGCCGGTTAGGAACTCAAGTGGGGAGAACTCTGTGGAAGTTAGTGGTACTTTTCATATAGCAAACAAGACAGTCAGTAGCACCTGATCACTGTTTCACAGCATGGCCAATGAGTGTATTGAGCATTTACTGTAAGATTTGATTGCATTGTTCTGTTACGTATCTGCTTGAGAGTGGTCCAACTGCAGTTTTCAAGGCTTTGGACTCATTGTAGTCCTTCTGTGTGAATCTATACCTATTGTTTTGGAAAGGCCTCAACAGAGAGCAGGATCAGGATTTGTCATCAGGAGGTCAAATCTGAACAGAGAAAACATTGTTATTTCTTTATGGAATACTGCTTAGTAAGTGTAAAAGAACTTGAATATTGTTTTTTCTCTTCCTTAGGTGACCTGAGCATGACACATTACGGGTCATGTGGTTTTTCCTAGGTGGAGTGCCTTGAGTTTTAATGATTCCTTAGGCTCTCTGTAGAAGACTTAGTGTAGTAAGTCTCTGGGAGCAGCGAAGGGTAGAAGCTGCTGTGTTTCCCCATGTACTGCTATAAGCTTTTCTGAGACCTAACTCAGATATTTTTACCTTGTTATTTTCAAGGCAGAATATATGGGTCACTGGTTTTGGACTTAAGGGTCCCTTTACGGTCTCTTTATCCCCCTTTGTTTACTGAAGTCTCTGTTCCTCTCTGTTAGGTTCTTGTTCATTATCTCACTTCTTTGCCAGTCTCATCACTCACTAAAATGAGAAGGCCTATCCTTGCCTTCATGAGTGTGATAGGGCCCTCAGTACTGGCTGTCCCTGTATATTTAATTGCTGGTCTGTCTTTATCATTGACCTTTCTTGGTCTAAAATTGAGCTATGAATTAGGATTTTTGACTAAGAGGATGTCTTATGTGATTGAGTTGTGGGCCATCTCTTTGTAGCTTGGCATAATACATTGAGATGTAGCAGTCACTTGGCAAGATACTTTTTTAGTCAGGCAAGTTGGGTGATATAGCTCTTGCTTTTTTCATGGCTACCTACGTAAGGGTTGTCTTAGAGCAGGATTTAATATCTTCATACAGGAACTCGATTTTAGTAGAGACTTGAAAAGTTCTTAGACACAACTAACAAGAATTTGTCCGTGCTGAGAAGTAATGAGGACTAGCATATACTCAGGTCGTTATTTTGGATAGAGTGTCAGGCCTGATTTTAGGCTGGGACAGATTTGTCCAAAAATATAGCCTATGAAAAGGCAGTTCTGTTATATAATATGGACCACTGAATGCCAGGCAGGTTGTTTTGGTCTGGACCTTTTCCTGGTTCATGCTGTCATCAGCTGCTGTCCTCTGTTTTGGCTGTTATTCAAGCCTGTTACAGAATAAATGAAATATGCTGTCTGGGAGAAGGAGTTCTGTCCCTGCCAGGGTCAGTCTTCAGTTCAAGGTCTTTGCTGCATGGATTGTTGTAGCTCTCTTCTCTGTTTTACCTCTCCGTTGTCACTCTGGGAGTTGGATACTGAGGGAATCCCTGCTAGACGGGTACTTCTGCCAAAGACATCAGCCTGGTGTTTATGGACGCAGTGTCTCCCATCTCGGGGAAGTATCTGGATGAATTGCTCCAGGACTGTAAAGTCTATGACTGGGGTCTAAGATACACCTCAAACAACATCATGCCGTGTCTTTCAGTCTTACAGGAATCAAGTGTTTGAACAGATTAAGTCAGCTCCATCAAAGGGCAAATCTTCAATAGGTGCACTGTCTCCTGAGGAAGCAGATGCCTTTCAGCTATGAAGTATTCCATGTGATATGATGGTCAGCATTGCTTTCAGAGAGAGGTGCGGTACTGGCAGCAGTGAGAGCTGCTTGTAGGGAAGTCTGGTGTACCAGATTTGAATAAGCAATGCAAAAAAATGCTATCATGGACTCCTGTAGTCAGACTATCGGTCTGGCCAGCGATTGGATTGTAAATATGCATATAGTAAATGAGGCAGGCTTGATAATTGTCAATGCAAAATCATGAATTGCTGAATAAGCACAGCTGTTTTGCTCATTAGGTTTTGCTGCTGTAATTAACAACCACTGAGTAGGATACATCAAAAAACTCAGTCTTGCAAGGGGAGATGGGGTATCTGCCTGCCCTTAGGGCTGGTTGCCTTGCAGCTGCTAATGCTTGCCAAATACTGTGAGCCAGCTCTAAAGCATGGCTTCTTTAATCAGCAGATTAAGCTTCTCAGCATGTTATTGGAGTATATAGTCTAATAAATGCAAAGACTTCAACTTCTGCTCTGAATGTTAGAGTACACGTTTCCAAGAGTACGTGGAAGATTGTAGCAGGGTGCTACTGAACCTGCAAAGACAAGGGATAGATACCTTTCCTTTCAACCAGTAAAACTGATAAGGTTTAGGAGGGCATTAAGGATACTCCGATCAGTTGGTATAGGAGAGGTTGCATGTTAAAGAGATCAAGAGTAGTCTTGCTGAGAAGTGCTTCAGCTTGCTTTATGCTCGCAGGGAGTACTGATTCTCAGAACCAAAGAACTGATGGAGCTGGTATTGCTGTATATCTTAGTGTGGCCTTAGCGCTTCATGATCAGAGGCTCACCGTTTTCATTTCTGATGCTGGCAGGATTGAAAACAAACTGAAGAGGATGAATGTGAAAGGAGCTAACCTGGAACCTCCTTAAAAGGATATCTGTGGGTTTTTTTTTTGTCTCTAAACATCAGCGCAGTCAGTTAGGTTTTCTCTGTCTGCTCTACAGGTTTGTGTGAGCAATGTGGCAGTACATGTTGTTATCAAGTGAAAAAGTATCATTTGCTAGACAAACACTAGTTTTAGCTCTTTTGACTGGACAAGTACCTAAACGCATTATTTATTTTCCCATTCTCTGGAGGCAAAGTCTGTGATGCGTTGCAAGTTGTGCTCATGGCGTTGTCATGTCTCCACTTTTAATGTAGCCATTCCTCCTATAAATTGAGGATATAGTCAGTCTTAATGTAGAAGTTAAATGAATTACAAAAATAGAAGTGCAACATTTGGGAAGTTAGAGGAAAAAATTCTTCCCTCCTGGGTATTGAGTAGATCTTTAAAAATCTTTAGTATCTCAAATAGTTAGAAGTATGAACTTTGCTTTCCGATAAAGAATGTTTTTTGTTGTAGAAGACTGATAAGTAGTGACTTGTACTTCAGAAACCTCTGTCTTTTGAGCTAAGTGTTTCACTTTGATTCTTGCCTGTGGGACTCTCACTTAATGAAATGATTTGGTTAAATGCAAGCACTGTCTACTCTTACCCTGGTTAGGGAGGTTGCCCTTGGCATGCCTTTAGGCCAAAGTAGAGTTGTTCCTAGGTGCATGAACTGTTTCTTATAAGAATGAAAGAGCTAAGTGAGGAGAGGGGTGGGGGAAAACTTGTGATTAAGCTCCAAATATGGAACGTCAGTATCTTTATACTGCCTTAGAGGTGGCATAGATGATACTTGGGCATTGATGCTAAAGCAGCGGTGGTTGCCTGACCATGCTTGATGTGTTTGAAGAAAGGTTATGAAAACATTGCTTCATGATCCAGGTGAACCTCCTTGGTAATACTTGGGAGTCAGGAAGTATAGGAGTTGGGAAGGAATATGTTCAAATACAAAAGAAGACAAGGTTGACTTCCTTGGAACAGACCTTAGTGGAGACTCATTTTCTGAGTACTCTCTGGCCTCCTTACAGCTAGGCTTGAATAGTTCAGAAGACAAGGTCAGGTGCTGGACAGGCCAAGGTAACTGTCAGATCTGGGTCCTTCATATTCCATATTGCTCCTAAGACTTCTTCAGAGGAGAGACGTAGAGGAAGCTTCTTATGAGGAAGGCGTAAGGTTGAGAGGAGCAGCGAGACTTAAAGTGCACACAACCCATAGGTCCATGCTTTTCAAGCATGAGGAAGAGGAGTATGGTTTCTGTGGTGTATAGCCTAAGTCTCCAAGCTCACATCGTAATGGGACATGCATATTCATAGTGTGAACATGCACATGGACAGCCCATCTCTTGGAAACCCAGTGGCTATAGTAGCAGAATTAAATCTGGTAAGAGCAATTGTTACTCCAGTTGATCAGTTGTTTTAATCCTAATATGGAATGGCTAGAGGCTGTGAAGACTGATTGGTGCTGTGTGTTATACAGCTATGTAGTACATCAGAACAGCTGGGCTAGACCAAAGACCCGTCTAGACATCTAGACTAGACCCATCTAGTATCCTGTCTTTGGCAGTAGGCAACAGCACATCCTAAAGGAGGGTGCAAGAACCAGGCAAAGCATCCATTGATACTTCCCTATTATTCTTTACTGCTTTGGGACTTCCAGAGCCACATATTTGTGTTTAATTTTCCACTGCGGATTTTTTTCTCTGTAAATTTTGTCTTAATGAGTTATAAACATATGTATTCCTTTGAAATCTATAGTGTCCTGTGGCTACATGTTCTAGAGTTTAAGTATATGTGTGACAGTGAATGGTGTTTGCTTCTGATAGGTATTTACTGTTTAGGGCAAGAAGTTAAATTACTAAAATGTATTTGGGTTTTAGCTTAGTGAATTTCTGGTAGGTGCAGAAAGTGATGAAATTCATATTAATGTTTAGTTTTGGTTTTTACTGTTTTTTTTTTTCCCTGCCCCTTCCCCCCAAGGGTGCCATATGCCTGATACTTTGAATTCATGGTTTCTAGTAGCCCAGCTTCATGTCTGGTAAGTGAAAATTAAAATATTGTTTACAGAATGAAATTACCTTACGGTGAGAAAAAGTGGGCTCCATGGTTATTGGTAACAGTGGTTATATTTAATTTGTTAACTTTTGAATTGTAGCAGTTTTCTATTAAAGAACAAAAAGAAGCTAAAATCTTTTAAATCTTTAAATTCTGAAGTAATGGAATGACCTTTGCCATGAGTTTTCCAAAAGCCTTTCTCAGACTAGGTGGAAAAATTATGTGTAACTGTTTTAGGAAAAGTTTAAATTTACATAGAAGTGGTTTAAATTGTGAAAATTTGTGGTGATTTAAGTTGCTGCTTGTCAGAAGCATTTAACAAATTATAGCCCTGACATTTATGCTTGCACTTCTGAAATGTACATAAAGGTTGGTGAGTGCCAGCTTGGTTGTATATAAAAATATTTAACACCTTAAACAGTAGGGTTTTTTACTTTTTCATTTGTGAAATTAGTAGCCAAAAAAATCAGTTTTTCATCTAACATTACATACTTGTAAAGGTCAGAGGGATGCACAGGGGAGTACATTTTGGGGTGGAGTGAGAGGGGAGCAGATCTTTCAGGAAACTAAAGTCCATAGATTTGCTTTCAGCTACCCAGAGACTAAAAGAAGGTTTGGATTGAAATACCTGCACTTAAACATAGGCTCCTTACTTCCTTGCCTCTGTTTTTTCCCTTCTTTTCTTTTAATTTCCTGTCTCCTTGGTATATTGAAAGATGGGGCAGCTTATTTCACTGAAGAATGAATAAACTAGTAGAAGCCTTGAAATTGGAATCGGTTAATGAAATCAATTGAATCAACTAACCAGTTAATGAAAAGCCCGTGAGATTTGCTGTTTTTCTGTTTCTCACCCTTTCTTGTGGGGAAAAACGGCTTTAAAAGGCTGAATTGATAAACTAATCATTCATTTCAATATCTGAAAAACTACTGAAATAAATATGCAAAACCAAACCATTTGTAAATACCTGGGAGAAAATAAAGAGGGGTAAATGAATCTGCAAAGACTATGCCTTTTTTTCCCCCTCATGATTTTTATATCCTGTTGACAAGAAAACCTACCTTGTGATAGAAGATTATGTATCTTGACTTTGATACTCTCTTTCGTGAGAGTCTTAAAAAACGGAGCTATGATAGAGGTGAAACTAGCATGGAATGGGCACAAAACTGCTAAGATCATAGCTGTATCAGAGAAGGCCAAGAGTTGCCTCTCCTTGAGGCCGTGATGCCGAGGGGACAGATAATAAGGGAAGCTGAAGTACTCTCACATTTTAAGTTATGATGGACAGGGTGACAGCAATATACTACACAAAGAGGAATTTGGTTCCTTCCTATACTTTGTTGGGCAACAATGAAAATTTGAACGTGGAGGGTAGCACAGAAGGTTAGTTCTTCTGAGATTTATATGCCTGGCTTCTCCATGTTCCTGGGAGCTTGACCTAAGGAGGGCTGTCATTCTGGACTGCAGATGGGAGATCCAGTTTGATGTTCCAGGACAGGGGGGAATCCTGATAGGCGTGCTCACTTATTGAGGCCATAGGAAAGTGCAGTGGGTTTTGCTTATGACTAAGCTCGGTGACCAAGATCCTGCCATGGTATACTTCTACATTCAGGGTCAAGTGTACTGCTACATGCTTTCTCTCTGATTCTCTTGTTTTAATCAATCTTGATGTGGGTAAAATGGGAACAGTATTAGTGATCCTGCTAGCTCTGGCATAGTCAGGGCCATCTTCGCTCTATCGGAAGGCCTCTGCCTTTCCTGCTCGACCTTTTGTCTCAGAGTTTAGAAATCTTCCTGATCTGGCAGCCAACCATCTCACAGTGTAGATTATGGATTGCTAGCTATTAAAATGTTCCAATGTTCCCCTGCAAAGCAGTCTAGCTCATTTTCTGACTTATTTGCTCTTTCCTCTTCTACTTCAAAGTTTTAGTTTCGACTGTCTTAGGGTATCTCCTGGACCTGGAGAAGATAAGGTTTTTCTCTTAGTTTGGATTAAAAAAAACCCCTCTTGCTGCTGTTATTGCCCATCATGCTCCCGTCAACTGTGTTTCTATGTTCTTATAGCCCACCTTTTATAGACTTAAGGTACTTGTCAGAGCATAGCTCCTTGTGCTACGGATTCCAGTAGGTCCTCTGTTTGAATCCTTGGTTTGAATCCTCTTCTTGTCTATGATCATAGTTTTCCTCCTTATGTCTAGAAGGAACGGGAGGGAGGGGAATTCAGGCTCTCGTGTTTAGCCTGCCCCTTACACTAGCATCTTTAAATATAATTTTCCTTCAGATACATCCCAGTTCCTTCCCATACAGTGCTAAAATTCTACTTAAGCTAGAAATCTTATCGGTATTCTTCCTTACTGTCGTGCTTTTATGGGTCATTTCTGTTGCTCTGCATTTTTCATGTCAGGAGGACTTCTTTTTGTGCTTAGAAGCCTAGACCTTTTAGGAAATCTCAAGCTGTTCGTCTCAACTGCTGGATTTGTGTTTTCCTGTGCAGTGGCAATCTAAATGGATTAGTGACTCTGTCTGGACCTATTAGGAAACTGCCAAAGTGGTGACTTTAGTGGCTGTACCAAGAAATGTCTCAGTATAAGAATATAGGATTGTATCATGTGGTTATCTAGATCTCCCTTCATATTTTCACCAAGCGTGGTGCCATCCCTGAAGCGTTTAGGATCAAAGTAGAGGGGTACTTCAACTCCTGTTCTGAAGGACTATGGTAAGACCTGAATATTGTTTCTGATGTGGAAAACTGCATTTGAGAAGGTGTTTATCAGAGAGAGTCCAGAGGAGAACAAGAACCATCAGTTACATTTAAAAAAAAAAAAAAAAAAAAAACAGTTCCTGCGGGAAAAGACCAGATTTCCGTAGAGGAGACTGAGGGTGTTGTATCAATTTGAGATATGCTGTTCCAAAAGAAAGGGAATAATTTATCTATCAATCACAAAACAGAGAGTAGGGAGAAATGGAGAGTCCTGCAGGGAGGCGTTTGGGAACAAGTTTATCTCGAATGACTTCAGTATTTAGTTGCTCCTGCCTTCAGGTGAGAGAATGGACTAGGTGACCTAAGTGCTGGCACCAGGAGAGAAGATGACTACATAGCGAGGCTCAGATCTGTTAGTTTGTGCCACAGCAGAGATGTGTACATGGCTGTAAATACAATAGTTAGTGAACTTGCTAGGCTGAAGCACAGGGTAACATGCAAACCTATTTAGGAAGAGTTTAGGATTCTGCTCCTTACTGTTATTCTCAGCAACCATTATTCATAAAAGCGTATATTGCAAAATGTAGCTGGTGGCAAAGTCGATTCTGGAGCATCCTCCTCCAGTTCCCAAGTTCCTGGCCATTCATGAAAGATCTAGATTAAACAGAATAAAACAACAACCTTCTACAATTGTTGTTGATACTTTTATTGTTAAGCCAGAGTAATTTCTCTGACCTAGTGTGGCATAGCCCTAAAAGCAGTTGCACTGGGACGATTGAAGAAGCAGGAAGGAGTGGCCATGTCCAGGGAATAGCAGGAAGCTCTGAGTGGGCTTTGCCCTTAAAGACAGAATGCATCATCACACCTTGATTGCTAGCACTAGTCCACTTCACAGCAGAGTCAAACAGGGTAGTGTCGATTAGCACTTTCGGTATTTAATCTGTTGGTACTGAGTGGGAATACTGACACCAACAGTTATAGCTAGGGACTGTTGAGGGGAACTGCTGCGTTTTGTCTAACATGACTGGAGGCATAGGAGCTTCTTTTCCTTTTCAGGCATTCTTTTGTATAATTTTCTTCTGACATAATCTTCTCACATAAGTTAAATGCAGTGTAAGTAATCCACCCTGACTGTTGTCATGTAGACAACTTTCTAAAGATAGGTTGGAATAATTTTACTTCAGTGGTTTGACAAAGATGAGTCAGTCTTTGAATAACTTACAGAACAGGTTCTGTAGTGAAATGATAAAATGTTTCACACTTGATCTAGTTAGAAGGTTTGTAGTCTTTAAAGAGTCTGTGTCTTTTAAACCTCAGACGGCAGGTGTAGTAACAAACTACCAAATTTTCAAATAAACTGCAGAATTCCATGATCTCACTCGTGGTGCTGCAGAACAGCTCTATGACAGCACTCTGCATCCAAACACAGAGCTGCCTTTTAGGCTTCAAAGGAAAAAAGTTTTAGTCTGAACACTGCTCCATTCCTGCAAAAAACAGTTACCAATTGTAAGTGTTGGTCTGTGTACCAGGAGGAGAGAGGAGTACACCCCCACTGAAGACAGACTGGATGGGAACCAGTATTTATGCTCATGGGGTTTCTTGCCAAGCCAATCTTAATTTTTTTTCCCCCAAGCTTGTGTATTCAGCAACTAAAGTATAAAAATTCTTTTCTCAGCCCAAAATTAGTCTCCTAAACTGAGTCTTTTTCTCTGCAACTTGCTAAGAGTGAGAAAAAGTTTGGGATACAGTGACATGTACGAATTAACTTTTTCATACAGCTCAGTTATATAAATACACAGGAGGAACAAAGGTTTTAAAACTGGTGAAACAGAAACAGAAGTTTTAAGCTGGTTGTGCATTTGGTTTGTGGAAGGACTGGTAACTGGACAGCTCTGAGTTCTGGACCGCTATTTTAGCAGAAAGCTTTTGTCATCTTCTGTGAACAAGATGCAGGTAGATTCCTTTCCTGCTACTGTCTTGCTACTCGTTCTGCCAGCACTTCAACATTTTCCTTCTATTCTTTTGCTGTTGCTGATTTCCATTTGTCCTTCCTTGCAAGACTTTTTCTAGTTCTCATCTGGATTTGCAAGGTTTAACCAGTGTCTGCCCACCATTTTTCAGAGTCTTGATCACTCTGCCCAGCTGTCTTTCTCACTGGAGTTTGCTGCCAAACATTAAAACAAATGTCAGATTTTCTGCAAAGTGATCAAGGCTTTGCAGCGTGGTGTAGACTTGGACGTTCAGCATGCTTCAGGCAGAAAGCGGAAGAAATGAGGTGGGATATGCTACAGAGAAAGCCTAAACTTGGTCAGGTACTCCAGAACTGCCTCTCGCATGGTCAGTGTTGTTTTCAGAAGCCCTTCAGTTAGAAATCCAAGGTCCAAGGGCTTTTCTTCTCTTAATTTTAGTGTTTGAGATGAATGGCCCTTGTGTGGCACTTGGATATATGGCTCTATTCAGAAACAAGAATATAGAACTAATGCTATTCTTGGTGCCTTCGGTTTATTTTGTCTCTGTGAATCATCCTTGAGAATAAATTTTGCTTCTTTCGCTGGTTAAAAATATCTTTCCTTTACTAATCAGTATGCTAGATGAAATCCATCAAAAAGATTAGTTTCTTTCCTTCTACGAATCAGCTCAGTTGAAAGTTTTCAAGTGTTTATGATTCTACCTGTTGAGCTGGCATTCCCAAAGCACCAAATACTTTCAGTGCCTACAGGGATGCAGATCTTATTTCCACTGAAGAAATGAACAGATATAAGCACGATTTTTACCTTTTAACTCTTCTGGTATGTTCACAATTGGTACTATGTGACTGCTTCAAAGTGGCCTGCAGCAGCTATGAACTCTTACTCTCGCATAAGCTATGAGAGAAAGCTTTTATGTGGGAAGTTTCCCAGCTGTAGCATGCCTCTGTGCAAAGCAGTGACTTCTTTCAGCTCGAGTGTTTGAACACCACGCTGTCTACAACACTGTCAGTACAGGAGAGGCACTTCTGACTCAGGACGTAGGAGCCGGGCTGATTAGTGAAGTAGAGAACATGGGACCGGTGATGTGCTTGGTGTCTTAGCTTAGTGAAGAAGTAGCCTGTATTTTACTAGATCTGTAGACAGCATTGACCAAAAGAGGCAAAATAAGTTGTTGTTGCTGATGATTTTTTTTTTTATACTGAACAACAGCAGTGAAGTTTAAGTGTCTTAATGCTTTAAAAAAAAAAAAAAAAAGTGAAACAATTCAACCTGGTATTCTCATTAAGATCCCACAACGCACTTACAAACTTGTTTGTTCTTCCAGCAGGTACTGCAGGTAGGAATTGTGGCAAATGGTTGGACATGTATCCGAAGACCCTGTAGCTGAAATAATTTAGGAGATGCTAATGTGAATTTGGGTGACGTCTATTAACTTGCTTAAGCTCTCACAACTTGGCTGGTGTAAACTCTTTTAGCACTTTAGTATACCAAGGTGAATGAAAGCTGGTTTGAATCCTAGGACAAGACATTCATTCCAATTCCTGCTCCAGAGGGTGATAAGTTCTTAAGAATGTGGAATACTGTTTAACTAGATTACAGTACTATCAGCCAGAATAGAGTCCACTGACATTCTCCCTTAGCTGGATTGGCTAAAATCCAACGGGTGCAGGTCTTGAATACAGAATAGACAAGTTTGTGATAGTTTAGGGGGAAAAGTTTGTGATAGTTTAGGGGGGAAAAAAAGGCGGTTTTTTCTATGTATGGGGATTTTTTTTTTTTCTGATCACAAAAACCCATTCTGTAAGGGGACTTTTAAATGAGCTGAAATCTTTAATTTACTGTTTAAATTTACAGGAAAATTAGAAGCTATGGTTTTGTCTGGTGTTTATGTTCTTGCAGGATGTGTCTGGTACGAATGAAGCAGGAGGGTCGATCAGGAAAATATATGTGTCGCTATATAGTTCATTGTATGTGGGAGGATGTTGAACAGCGTGGTAAGGTGATGGGGGTAAGTCATCTTTGGTGTTGATTATCTTGATTATTTTGATGCTTCAGATGCTTTTGTAACTTTGTATATCTTAGAAGAAAGCCTAAGAATTAATTTGTAGCTGTGTGTGCATTTCTTTATTAGCTTAAGCTGGTATATGTAGCCCTTATTCTTGACCATTTATACCTGGACTGACTATTTTATTGAGCCAGTGAAATTTTTTTCTGAAACTATACCAAGATCTGGACCGATGCATTGATTTGACTGAAAATAATGTGTTTTCCACCTAGTCCTTGCAGAAATAGCGATGCTGCTACAAGAGAGTTGGAATTAGTGGATGGGAATGCGCAGCTGGTGTAGGGAGAAACATGACTGGTGCCAAATGTATAACCATTACTTAAGTAATTCCAGCAGAGCTTTGAGTTTTCTATATGTCTAGAACTATGAGTAAAAGGAGGGAGAAGGGACAAAGTTTTGTACATGACTCTAACTAATCATTAGTTAAGTTTTCGCTTTGACTACTTGATGTATCTAGTCTTGATCACAAAAGAGACATTGTAAGGAAAGGGTAGCTCTAAGAATAATTAATTTGCGAGTCTGAAGGAAGAAAAGGGTTTGATCTTTTTGGTGTGTGCCATGAGCAACGTTACGCTAGTTAGTTGTAACGGTCATTTCTTATCTTAAAGTCACAACTGTCTGTCTCCATCCTTGCATTGGTGACAGCCTTCAGAGAAGGCACTGCAGAAGCAGTGGAAGTAGGTGATGGTTTTTACAACACCAGTATCACAGTGGTGGCAGTGGACATGGTGCAGTTGAGGATGCCCATCTTCAGGACAGTCCTAGTGGGAGAAGAGAGCTTGGAAAGATTGCCTGTGTTGTGGAAAAAGTAAAGAATTATGCAGTGATTAGAGAGAGGTTTGTACATGATTAAAATTAATAGATCAGTCAGACAAGTGACAGTTTTCGTACAGCAATAATGTCTTATGATTGAGACTTAATTGTCAGCCACGTAGGCAAGGGGGAGGCAGCTATGGAGTTCTTTTCTTGCGACAAAAGGGGGAATTAACGGGTGAGTCAGCATTTGGTATGAAGTCACATCAGTAATTCAAGAGGTTTATATCTGATTATATCTTTTGTTTTGTGTGCAGTCCTAGAGTGTTGTTTCTGGTATGACTTCAGTTATTCCATCCATAATGGCTTTTTTCTTTTTTTTTTTTTTTTTTTTTTTTTCCAAGGAACTTCCTTAGCTTGTGCTAAAGGTTGCTTTTAAGGTCATGCTCTTAATCTTCTTTAGGATTAAATCTAAATTTAGGCATCTTACAATTTCTTGCTATGTTAATAGGCAGGTCATAAGTTCGTATATGGGGATCTCTACTACCCTCATCAGATGCTGTGAGGCAGCATGAGTAAGCTTGGACAAATTAGATAATAGTAGTACAGGTCATTTTTAATAGTATGGTTTGTTCTTAGAGGCTTTTACATTGGTTTCTCATTATAGGAGACCAAATGACGTAAGTGCTCATGCAGCAGGTTTCAAACTGTGCTGCTTTTGTGGACTGTAGATTATGCAGGAGCAACTCACTGAGTAGAGGAACTGAGCACCACTCTAGAAACGTGTTTTGAAGGGCAAATAGCAAACACTCCACATTATTAACTAGCTATTCTAAAATCACTATATTTAATTGCATTTTTCAAGTATTTTGTTTTTTGCCCTTCATTATTTTTAGGTTTTGGCCTTTACTTCCTTTTCGCTGTAGTTTTGGCTAAGAAAGAAATAGAAAAACACTAAGTAGTCAAACTCAGAATGAAGAGTGCACCAAAGAAAGAGATTGAACAAGATAAAGAGTTTCTGTGTTTTTGTCCTTACTTGCATCTTCCGTGTCACATCAGTGGTTGTTTCCTGTTTCTGTAGCAACTGAGACTCTCACAGGATTTAAGAGAAAAAAATTTGAAGTAATTTCTCTATTCTTTTTGACACTGTGTTTTTTTTCCTTGTATCAGCTAGCCTCAGATGTTTTCCTGTAGTTTTTCTTGTAGGAAAACTATGCTTTCCTTGAAGCAGTGGCAGACAGTAAAGAGAAGCAAAGCTGTTTACTGCCCTTACAAGCATGCAGAACTTAAAAGTGAAGCATGGTGTAAGTTAGAACTGTATTGGGATGATTCAGTAAACATTTTTTTTTTTTTTTTTTTTTTTTAAATAATCCTGCTTACAGTCAATTCTTTATAGGGAAAGCACAGGTTTTCCAGTTCTGGAAAATAAATTATTCTATTGCTGTCAGAAATTCTCTGAAGTGTAAAAAGTGTCCTTGTATGTGATTTTTATCCAATCTGGAGCCTCAAATGTTAATACGTGCTTGTTATAATTGTGTGGTTACTGTACGATGCAACTATAAGGAGATCTTAAGTTGTTTGAAAGCCTTTCATTCTGTACCTTGATGGGTTAGACACCTTTTCAGTTCATCCTTGAATTTAAATTTCCTAGGCTATCAGGCTTAGTTTGTAATAATGTGATTTCTATAATGCATTTTATTTTGTTACGAAGATATGTTTTTGAACGTAACCTAGTCTTAGCCATAGCTTTTATGTGGCAATAGCTGATGCTTAAACAAAGCATGTACACATTTAAGGGCTTGATCCCACAAACAGTTACATCTGTGTGTATATTTAATATAGTGTAACTGCACAGAGGCCCATTGATTTTAATGAGTCTCCTTGTGAGAGAAGGTGAACTCTTGAGGTAACTGCTAACTAGTCCAGGCGTTAAGGGTGTGTAAGAAAGCATAATGAACTCTCCTAGACTGTAAACATGGAAACTGGGACTATTCTCTTCCCCATAGTGTTTGCAAAGGCACAGAGCTTTCATAATCTTGTAGTGATTGTTTTTCATCTTTTAATGATTCCTCATCTTTCAGACGTTAGTTTGTGAAGAGCGATGAGCTTTTCAGTCTCTTCTGGTAGTTTTTGCTGTATATTGGAATAAAGTAACTTATGCATTGATCTTTGAAGAGGTTAGCTGTTTCTTTGCTCACAATCATTGCTTTAATTACCTTCCTCTCTGCTAGCAATCCTAACCCAATATACCACTACATCCATGCTCCTGCCTGGGCACTTCCTGTTTTTTTCCATGTTTATTCACTCCTCCTCACTTATTTTACTCCCCCTGGCATGCATGCCCTCTACCTCAACTCTTTCTTATTCACATCTCAGCTTGAGCAGTTACAAAGAGTTTTAAGTGGTAAATAGGTAAAGGGCACCTACCCTAGCTGTGAGGTACAACTTATTAATCTTGATATATTTATCCTTAATGTTTCATTTAAAATGAAGTTAAGTTAATGCTTTACCTTCTCTGTCATACTCAGACACAGGGCTTGTGAGCTGGTTGAAGAATATGTATAACAGCTATTTATTTTCAAGCAATTTAATCCTGCAACCAGTATCCACTCTACCTTCAAAAGAAGATAGTTAAATACATCGAGATAGCAATAGCAGATAAACAGAAAAGATGATATTAATGTTCCTCTGTTGATGATTTCAAATTTCAGAATCTGACCTTTCTTGGAAAATGAGTAGAAAATGCTGAATACTTCCAAGGTGCTGAGTTATCATCTGTATGGCTCCCAGGTGATTAGGAAATTGCATTCCTTGCTTTTTGTCTCTTGCAGGGTATCAGAGGTCACAACTGAACTCTCAAATTGGTACATTCCTGTATTGCTGTGTAAGTGACAGAGCACCTGTGTGAAATTTGCTAGTTGGATGTAATTAGGTTAATGTGTTGATGGGAAGAACTGCAGTTCTTCAACCTAATTTCATATCTAGGAATATTAAAATACTTGATACAGAAAATGGACATTGTATTCCTGAATCAATATTGATGGTTTATTAGAATATGCCGTCTGCTCTTAAATATGCAGGTTCATTGGAGCAGAAAGTGATGGAATGTAAGGCATTTTAACTGTTAATTTACATCAGCTCCAACTGCACTTGGATTTTGTATTATTTCAAAAACTGGTTGTTAAAATTACTGAAATCTGAATCTCAGCTACAAAGTTTTTGGACCTGTTAGCCTGAGCTCCTTCAGCACTCCTGATTGTCGGCAAGAGTCAGAAACTAAAACTTGACACAGCTGTAAAAACACACAGAGAGCCTGTGGCCTCAGCAAATTCTACCAGTGCAGGCATATTTCAGATATAAATTTTACTCTGCTGTCCCTAGTACTAATGAAGTCAGTTTCTTTTGGTGGGTTTGCAGCCAGGTGTGTCCAGTTCTGTGGCTAACCAGTGCTCTTTACTTAATTTTTCCACTAGTGACATTTCTATCAAACGTCAAAAACAAACAGAAAAATTGGCTTTATGCAATGGCTCAAAGTGTTAATAGTAACATTAGGCTGGGTAAAAGACTTCCTTTCGATCCTGCTTTGCCAGAGATCTCCACCTTGTGGCTTAGAGTGAATAGATTTATACTATCCAAACTGGCAGCTGCTTAATCAGTTTGTAAGGGGAATTCAGTCAGTACTAGAAATCGCTCCTATTTGTCTTCCTACCAGAGCTCTTTAGCAACCTGAATATTAATCTGACTGACCTGAATATCGTGTTTTAGCAATTGTGTGTATATAAAAGCAGACATTATAAGTTTGAGTGTATTTTTTTTCATACCCTTAGATGAAGCTGCAGATTTGATCAGGACTGTATACTCTGGAGCTCCCTGGAATGTGATTTCAGCTGATATCTCACAATAGGGACGTGACAAAAATTTACTCATCACTCTGGATGCAAATGGGATGCTAACTTAAAAAAGATGCATTAGGCTTTTTTCAAAAATCTGTAACTTCTTGTGTGCTCATTTTAACAATGATGTGTCTGGTGTGTTGTGGTGGCATTGTACTTCTGAAATGAGTAAGGCTTTTTCAGTGCAAAATAATTCATTTTATAACCATACATATTCTAAAAACTGCAAGAGAGATGATAAGAACAGGAGGGGCTGTCCAGCTCAACCTACCAGACCTGTTTTAATTTATCTTAATC